TCGGGGGTGGTGTATCAATACCAATCACTGATCAGCTGTGAACAGAATGAAGAGTGTCATCGATGGCGACTACGATCATCAACTACTGTTGATCAGAGGATGGAAGATCCAGGTCAAAGGTCACAACAGCGTCTGTTAGTGATGCTTCAAACTTTTCCATCAGTTTAATTAGAAACTGTTCTCAGCTCAGTTCACACCTCAAGTTCAGTTCTGCACCAAAACACACACACACACACTTCTGATCATTTACACCATGAACACGTTGCCACATGATTTTAATGTGAAATGAACTCAGGTCCCTTTAAAAAAAAAAAAAAACTTGTGTGGACACTTTCAGAACGACGTCAGTGTGTCAGTCCATTCAAACAAACTTTATTGACAACACTGCTCAGCTCCTCGCGGTGACGATCATTATAACATTCATCACAACATTAGCATCACGTCACTTGTTCGTGTTTTGGTTCCGTTTCCAGTCAAAGGTCTTTAACGTGTTGTCCTATGACGTCACTCCGCCGCCTCCTCGCGCTGCCGCTCCTTGTGGAGCACGAGCCCTTTACCGATCAGATCCGGTATTTCCACCGCGAGCCACGGTCCGAGTCCCAGCGCCATGAGGTGCGCGAGCCCGAAGCGCGGCGCGTTCCGGGCCCAGAGCGGCGCGAAGTGGTCGGTGAGGCAGATCCTCCCGCCCCGGTACATCTTAGCCGTCTTCCCGTCCAGCTCCGGTACCGCCACCTCGGGCGCGGTGTCGGGGTACGTCACCGGGATGTCGAACTCCAACCGGAACTCGTAGCGTAGCAGCTCGTGGATGAACCAGCACGTGCCGGTCCACCGCGTCCCGTCCGGGTTGGACTCGAGGCGGAACCAGTCGTTGTCCGCGGCCTTGTTCTGCTCCACGAACCGGATCAGGGCCTGGTACTCCTCCTTCAGCCGCTGCGGCCACAGAGCCCGGTCCCGCGGCCCCGCCGGCGTCTTCAGCAGCGGGATCTGAGACACGGCCCTGCGCGTGGCTTCGTCCGCCATGTTGTGTCCAAGAGTAAAGTTGAATATTAAAAAAAAATGAAGGTTTAATTGTCTTTCTCCTTTTCACAGTGAAAATAAGTTCCGTGTGTTTGAGCCGGTTCTGCTCAGCTGGGAGGAATGACGCGGACTTCCGGTCTGTTACACCACTTCCGCCAAGACATTTTCAAAACAAAAGCATCCAGGCGCTTGGGTCGTTGCTGGACAAGTTTATTTGATAAATAAAGATTTTTATAATGAATATGAGCTTTGTTTCTTTTCTTTGTTTATTTGCTGTTTATGGCTCTTTCCTGATCCTTACAAATCAACCCAAAACAAATAAATTAAATACATGATAAGACATAATTTGTTATAAAAATGTTTTAT